GAGGTTAATCAAAGGGGAACCTTGGGGCCTTGGGGTGTAGCATAGAGGGATTTGTTGTGGAACCCATCATGTTGAACCTAAATCCAGCAGGTCTTAAAAATCCCAAACCCCTCAACCCTAAACCCGGGATAGACTCAGGGGCCCTAGAAATGCTTCTTATTATGGATTATATAAGATTAAATATAGCACATGAACTTATTCCCGGGAATATCCCAGAGGCCTTAACTTGAACTAAAAATCAATTCGCATGTTTGTTCCAACCCCAAGCCCTAAACCCTAATCCGAATCCGCACATGCTGGGGACCAGATGATGCACCGCGTTGCTATCAAACGCGAAGCCGTGGCCATTGACACTCAAGAGACATGACTGTTGCGCAGAGAACTGAACTGGGTTGCTGATAAGGAAGTTTATATAACTAAGTTACCGCAACGCAAGAATATGGTGAATATTGGGATTTCCTTTCAACACAAGAGGCTCAAGGTCCGAACCCTTCAAACCCCAAACCCCGAACGGTCAAACCCCAAACTCCAAACCCCAAGCCCCAAACCTCAAAGGGTGGTAGGAGGGACCCCTGGCAGGGACCCTTGGCAGGGAAAAAATATATACCCCCTATATACCCCTTATATATGCTATATATGGCTGAATAGGGAAATCTATCAAATATACTATGTAATATATATGTTTCCTCTGCCAAGACCCTGTCAGGGGTTCATGCGGCGTTCATGTCTTGAATGAAGAAGTGGTGCCTGACACTTTCCTTCTGCCCCTCCATTGGCGTGCTTGCTCACGGGTGAAAACGCAAAGGAAACCATGGCCTGCGAAGCTTAGCCCTTTCTGCCTTTCTTCTTGGCAGCGGCAGCCTCATCTGTCTCCACCGCTTTGCGGCGACGTGCTGGCTCAGAATCCTTCTTCGGATTTGCCTTCGCCTTTTTTGGTTCTGGCTTGGGCTTTGGTTTTGCTTTGGCTTTGGAGCGCCGAACAGGAACACCACCTGCTTTGCCGATTTTGGCTTTCGGGGCGGAGCTTTCAGCTGGCTCAGCTGCACCTTTCCGGCGCTTAGAAGGCAACGAAGGGCCAGGGGCATCACTGCTACTGCTTGAGGACGAGGAGGAGGATGATGAACAACTCATGGGCGAAAAGGAGCTGGAGGCCGCTGGTCCACCACTGTCCGATTCCGGGCCTTCAGCATCAGCCTCTTCACCTTGACTCTCAACATTTGCGACGGCCCCTTCAGGAACCGCTGCAACTTGCACACCCGCAGCGCGGGCATCGCTATCCACCATGTCCACACCTGCAGCGCGGGCAGCCCGATCCACCCTGTCCACCTCAACAGTCTCCTCAAAGTCAAGGTCGTCATCCTCCTCTTTGCCGTCCAGGATGGCGGCCGCGCGCTCCAGAGCGCGCTGAATGGCTGCGTTGTCTGGCTTCCCGCTGACGTCCTGCGTATTGAGTACATTTTCAAACGAGGAAACCCTGCACCCGGTATTTATTTAACCTTCGATCTAGGGCCTAGAATCTAGGGACATAGTCATTGATATCATTTGGGGGAATTTAATCTATTTTTTACCCCAATGCCCAGAACCTTCAAGTAGGGTTTGGGTTTCAGGGTTTAGCGTGTTCGGGGGGTCCCCAAATCATCAAAAGTTCTCCGCAGTAGGGCCTGTGGAGGACCTCCAGTAATCTTCGAAATTTGGACAGCCCCGAAACCCAAAGTCTCAACAGTAAACGTCAACGGCCCTCACTCTCAACCCTAAACCGTGGCAAGAACGAACGGGAACAAATACAAGAAACACAAACACCACCAACAGCAGATGCGAATTCTATCCTGGCCAGCATCCTGGTGCTTTCCCCAAAGGAACGCAACAACATACCGTAGCGCCGCGTGCTGCGACCGCTTCGGCCCAAAACTTGACCACGTACTCCAGTTTGGCTTGAGGCGCTTGTCGGCCGACGGGGGGAGGTTTCTCTTGTAGTAGCCCTGAAACGCATTCCGACTTGGTTGGAACATGAGGGTGCAGCCCGCTGCATTGGGCCGAAGGTTCTTGATCACATTCGGGGTGTGAAATGACGCCGCTGATTTGGTTCCTCCCATTCTCTTGAGGATAATTTCCTCACGGTCTTGGTCTTGCAGTTTTGTCCGCAAATCATCAAAGTCATTCGGATCCTCCAAATCCGCGCTCTGCAAAACCTCCCTCAACGCAGTGGTCGTGACAATCTTCCGCGTCTTCCCTGTGGCAAGCAATCTCGTGACCATTTCCACGTGACCAGGCTCATCCATCTCTGGGAAATACGCGCGCACCAATGACATCCTGACAAGCAAGGGATTTCCTAGCCCTTCAACAGGCACAGGTTCAACGGGACTGAAAAAATAATTAGCAGGCCCACGTCCGGAAGCCTAAAATTCTATACCCTAGCCCCTAACTGAGTTACCGGGAACACTCAAATCCTGGAACCCTACACCTCAATGACTTGGCCCAGTATGGTAGGGGATGCGAACCCTGAAAATTTCTGCTCATTACATCTTTATGGGGAGTGGCTCTGCAGGAAATTTCAATTAAAACGTGGGGGCACCGTCCCAAGGCTATAAAAACGAGGGGCAGCCGAGATTTGATGCCCAAACGCTTCTCAGACCAACGTGTAGGCTTTACCTTTGCCAGTCTGCAGAAGTCCGTCCGTCAAGTGGGCCGTCACGGCAGAGGACTCCAGGGTGCCATATCTCAGCCAGAACCGCATAAGCGGCTCGGGTCCACCACATTGCCGGGCCAGCAGACCCCACGCATGCAGATCCTGTCTCTGGAAAGGTGAACCTCAACAACCGCGACGTTGGAAGCAGAAACACATTCGTAGATGTTTGGAAACCGTGTTGGATGTTTGAAAGTTGGAGGTTCAGGGTGTAGAATTTCGGGATTTAGGGAATAAGGCTTCGCATGAAGCATAAACCCTGAACCCTAAACACGAAACCCCTAAAAACTCCTTCAAACCCCTCAGACCTCACCCCCTACATACCTTAATCCCTCAACCCCTTAACCCCGATAGCCCTAGACCCCTAATCCTAAAATCATGGTCGGACTCCTGCAAAAGACCTGAAAGCAGGCTGAAGCACTGAGTTCTGTTGGAATCCCACAGAACTGCTCGCGTCCGCCTGCACGCTCGCTTGGCTCGGCCATCTCGAAGATTGTCCTGGCCTGAAGACGACTTTGTGCCTCCTGGACAGACACATTCTGCCGCGAGAAGGCCCAAATCCCGTCCTGGTTGCTAGTCCAAAAAAATAGCTTTCACCGTATATCCCTACTATACAACTATGATTACTTAGGATTTAGGGGTTCGGCGTCTATGTCGCACGAGCCACGCTGAACCTGTTGCACTTGCAAGCGGCGATTGCTTCACAACGGAAACCGAGCCCCAAATAAGGTGTGTCCTAAACCCCAAAAGCCTCAAGAAAGAATTCAATCAAACCCTAGCCTAGCCTTAATCTGACCTAGCCAGGTACCGACGGAACCTGCTAAAGGAAGCGGCGTCTATCTGAAAATCCGAAGCTTCCCAAGCCAGGCGTGAGGGTTCTGGAATTTCAGTTGAGGCTGGGGAATTGTAGCTGCAACGTTGCTTAAAGAGTGCTGCCAACTGCCAACCAAGACTCCGCTGCTGCTTCAACCTCGAAGAGGAGAGCAGTCTGAAGGACGAAGCCAAGGCACAGAAAGACCTTGCCTGACACACGTTCCTTGTAGAGGTGCCCTTCCATGAGAAGAGAACCAAGAAACAAGGCGGACATGTGCTCAAAGTCCAGGTGGACGTGCTCCCGAATAGACGTCAGTGCTGCAAATGTCCGAAAGTCGGACAGCTGACCTGCTGGCTTCGTCTCCTTGTCATCTCGCAGTTGGCCTGCATCCAAAACACTGCCGTGGCTTAACAATGCTTCTCATCTCCTATGTCTCTAAAGGGGATAGAACTCAACTTTTCTGGAGCTGCTGCAACACGCAATGACCATAACCAATCTTCTGGGGTAGCAAACGTACACGAGTAGTGTGGGCTCCGCCATCTGTTTTGCTGCTCAGCTTGTGCGTCAACAGCTTTTTATACAAACCAGATCTGGAACCCTACCACAAAAGGAATGGAAACAATGACCCACGCTGGTGCTTCATCTGCTTCCCCTGGCCTCGCTTGCACAACTCCTTGAAGTGGCTCGCGAGGCTTGTCTTTGTCCGGACCTGCTGACCAAACACCTGCTCTCTGTCCAACGAAAACTTGCGAGCAGCGGCGCTGCTGAAATCGTCTTTGTCAATCTTCATGTATGAACCAGCTTGGGGACGGTGGCTTATGGCCTGATAAAAAAACATCCGCTCAAAGCTCCCGGATGAGCTCGGCTTCATGTCACGGTTGTCATGGTCACCGATGACATCTTCAATTTGATCTTTTGTGGAAAACAGACAAGAGCCCAAATAGTAGATGTGCTCGTATATCGAGGCGATGTCCATGTTGTGGTTGCGGAGATGGGCCCACAGCTCCTGAAAAGCTCCGCAAGCTTCATTCGATTTAGTCACTACGCTCACCTGGAACAAATGGTCACAGCAGCCGCCCTAACACGCTCTGCCAGGACCTGCCTGGTTCAAGGTTTGCTTGTGGATCCAAAGCTCAGAAAGCGCTAGCTTCAGACCCTGCGCAGGGAGACTGAGACAGCAGCCGGCAAGCTACCGGACACTATATACTATAAACTTTCATTGAATTAACTACACGCATCCCATGCTATCACTGGCTACTTCGGCTGCTGCAGCGGCGCCCCGGTTTCCACATGTTAACCCCGTGTGCCCGTCGAAACCTTTAAATGTCTGAAGTACCGTACACCCTAAGCTAGGAACCGGTGAACCCTAAAAAAAAATGTCTTCAAAGCTTCAACAACTCAACGGTACACAACAGCCCAAAACTTGCGCAAGCCTGCCGTGATTAAACCAGCCTTCGCGCCCGGGTGGTCTGGGGAAGCCGCCGCGCGCATTGCTGCCTCCACAGCAATCGCATCGCCCTTCAAGGTCTCAAAGGCAAGCGCAGCTTCGTCCTCGTTGTTGCTCAGGACACCACACCACTGTTCGGGCGGAACCTTCAAGAAGAGGCAAGAGACCATGCTCTGTTGCTTGCCATGCGCACCAGAAGTGACACAAACATCGCCGCGAGGTCACGCTTCAAGCCATCCATGCCTTCGGCAGGGTCGGCCTCGCGCAGCTCAAGACGCTCTAGAGCTTCTGTCTCCTGCGCTGTCGCGAGCACATTTGCAAGAACCTGGGCCCAGCGCTGGTTCGCCAGACCAGCTTGGAACTGTCGGGAAGCCTCTCGGTGCTCGGCGTCCGCACCTTTGTTGCATTCCAAGGCTTGTTGGTAATGCTTGCGGAGTGGCTCCTGGGCATACCATATCCTGAGCGCTAGCAAAATTCCAGAGCGACACCAGCTGCAACTGACAGAAGAAAACAGGACAACCGTGTTGTAGACAGCATACCATGACAGCCACAACAGGACAAGCAACACAACACCAGCAAGCAAGGAGCCAGCAGCAGCAGCAGCAGCAGCGGCGGCGGCGGCGGCGGCGGCGGCGGCGGCGGCGGCGGAGGCAGCGGCAGCAAACCTGCAACAGCCACTACCCACAGCCACCTGCACTAACGTCGGTGGAAGAGAAGCCACAACGCTGCCGCACGTGTGGCAGGTTCTTCTGAGCGCGTCGCCGCGACTCGCTAGAAACCACAGCTATAGCCCCCCCAAAAACAAGTCACGCGCAAACGCAACAGCAGCAGCAGAATTATCAGCATCAAGCACGCCCGGCTGACAGTCGCGGTGCCCACAAGGACGCCACCAACTACGCGGGAGCGGGGGAGGTTCAGGCTTTTGTGTTTCCGCTGTAGTTGAAAGCCCAGGGGTTAGGGAGAAGTGCTTTAGCAAGTCTGGACGAGGCTGATTCTGGAAGAGGCTGATTTGATTTCTAAAGTCCTTCGACTCAAAAGGGTTGTACTTATAGGGGACTATATAGGATTCCTATTCTGGGACTTATTCCTCAGGGAGATACTAGTCACTACGGGTTGAAACTTTTACAAAACTACAGCTGGTTTGGGCCTAGACTGGGCTATCAGTATTGGGAGGTCTCATGGGGACTCCACTTGGAGGGGCGGGAGGACTTAGCAAGTGGGCTCATAATGAGTATAACTGGTGCTATGCGGAATATAGAAGTTTTAAACACCCCACTTACGAAGATGCAGGAGCACGGGACCACAGCAAGCACGCAAAGCGCAGCTGGCGCTAGTCTTGAGCTGCAGCGTCAACAATCCAAAGCAAACACCAAACCCACAGCCTGAGCCCTTCCTTCAACGGGCCTTCCGCTAAACCCTTTACCCCAAGCCCTAATAAATTGCCTAATTCCGATGCCATTTGAAATCTAAACATAACATATAATAATCCCAAACCCCAGGCACAAACCCAAGTGCTGCTGCCACTGCTGCTGCTGCGGCTGCTGCGGCAGCTGCTGCGGAGGCTTTTGCGGCGGCTTTTGCGGCGGCTGCTGCTTCTGCTGATGCTGTGGACTTTGAGGTCCTAATTACATGTTACTTGGGTTTCCTTGCAACAACATATGCATTGCACCTAACACAAACCCTAAACACTAAACCCTCAACACACTTGTTGCCCAACGCCGTCTAGTAGCATGTCTGCGTAGTGCTTGATCCTCACGTCGCCGAGAACATCCCGCACAATGTCCAAGGTGTGCCGCGTCTTCTGCAGCTCGCGCAAGTCTTTCAACAGCGAGCGGGCTTGCTGCTTCACACTCACTCGTTCCGCACCGGGGATGGGGTTGGGGCCCCTTGCTGCTGGCTCGGCCTGCGCGCCTTCGCCGCCTGGGTTGTCGGCTGCCTCTGACTCCTGCGCAATGTCTCCTTCGGACAGCATGAGCTGCCACGTCATGTACACACTGCGCAGAAACGACCACAGGGGTCGAAAGCGCTTCCAACTCGTAGACCACGAAAACCAGCGCGACATCTTGACCTGCCGTAACAACAAAACTATAAAGTGTTTGGCTTACAGTAAGGCGTAAGATGTGAACCTCAGAGCATGAGCGTGACCTCGAGGCGACACTACCAGGCCGCACACACTAGGGCGTGGGGTTTGGAAAAACAAAACTGGCTTTAAGACTTGGTTCTACTTCTAGCAGCAGCGCAAATGGCAGCCCCTAATTGCTCATTGCCGGTCAGTGCTGCTGGCTCTATCTTCGTGAACCCTTGCGACGAACACATCATGCGGGGTGCCTTTGAATGAGCTCCAGAACCCAGATTCTTCACGCTCACAACATGAGCATCGCAAGATATCAAGCCACGCCGTGACCTATAAACAATGTACCCGAGGCCTTACTAAGCGTTAAAAACCCAGCTCTCAAACTTAAACACCACGCCTGAGCTCGAATCAATCAACTGGTGCTCGGGGTTTTGAGGGCCTCTATAGGTTCAGGGCTGAGGGCTAGACTTGAGATGGCCGTAAACGCCAGACCTCAAATCAAACCCACGAACAGTCTGCAAGGACCTACACACTGAGTCCGTCCTCGCTGGGTTCCCACAGCCCCAGATTGGCCCTCATCCGGTCGTGCACTTCCTGTGTCGGCAGGGTCGGCTGGTTCAAGTCCTTCCGGATGTCTTCAGCGGCAGCTTCAAATTCCGCGGAATGTGCCGGGAAGCTGTCTAGGAAAAGACTGGCCATGGAGACCAAAGTATGTCCAAACTCACCAGAATTGAAGGGCTTCTTGTTCACGCTCATGCAAAGCTTGGTCGTTGCCGTCACTCCTGGTGCAGCGAGGTGGAGGGCTGTCGGGGTTGGTCTGGGAATTGTTCTACACTTTAACGCATCAGGGAAAGTACACACTTTTAAAAAAATTCTGTGTCTCATTCATCATGTCAGGCTGTTGCCTCAAAGTTGTCCCCGCGCGTCAACCCTAATAGCTTGGGGCCTCAAATGATTCATGACATTGCCGGTGCGCGCAGCTCCTGCGAGACCCAACTGCGCAATGGGGTTCTTTGCGTCATTATAAACTCGATGGATGAAGTCTGGGCGATACTTGATTCTCGCGCGCATGCGGTAGATCAGCTGTAGTATCCACTTCATCCTTGGCGTCCCGAAGACAAAAATGCTGTCACCTGCCTGGAAGCCTAACACAAAGCTAGAACCTGAAAACAAAAGCCCGAGATTCTGTTTGGGCTCCTGGTCGGCCAAAATGACCAAAGCTCCCACGCGTCGCAAGCTGTCGGGGTCTGATGGGCCAGGGGCACGAGGCTCGGGGACCAAGGTATCCAAGCTCTTTCCAATGCCGTGGAACAGAGAGTTCCCCAGTGCGTTGGCGAACTTGAAAGGCTCGTACCGATTGGCGTGGGTTGCCTTCCTCGCCGCTCGCATGCTGGTGACCGGCATATCCATAGCCTCACAAGCGACAGGCTTTGCCCTAATGAACTGAGCTCAAGTCCTCCCACGTGCGCCATGCTGATGCACTTTTTGTTGAGCTAGGCAACCGCCAGCTTATGCATGATCTGCACATCTTGTATCATCTCAGCATTTATGGTGGGATCAGTTCGCAGCGTCGCGCCGGAGAGCACCTAAGTAGCACGCAAGCCAGGCGGGCACAGGCATTGGCACGAACGGTGATGCAATGACGCAACAATCAACAGCACATTTCCAGGCTTGCTGGCAGCACGGTTTCGCCCTGCACTGTATGCGCAAGCAGACTTCCTAAAAACCCTGCGCCTGGCCTGGCACTACCTGAAGCCTAACACCAAAGAGCTACAGGGAATGGTTTGTAAGACGCATAAGGGTCCAGCGCCTATAGGATATCAGACTTTGATGTTTCGGGCGTAGGTTTCAGGGACGCAGGCCTTACTACTTTTGGGTTGGGGGTTTCTCTGGCTAGACAATGCGCAGGCGCACGGAGATTGCTTTAGCTTGAGCTACACAGACAGGATTGCTCCAAACGAGCAATGACCAGTAGTGAGTAGTGGGATGCAAAACTGCAGAGCAATGAGGAGGGAGTCTCAAAAGTAATTCCCGATCATAGCCAGTTGCTCGCTTGTGAGCGGAGTGCGCTACAGCCCCTCAACCCCCTCATCGCTGAACTGCACACGGCCCCCTTGAAACTACCGACCCGCCTTGCATCCTCACTGCCAATGTCTACCGAGTCTACCACATTGATTGTCAGACTCCGTACACTGCTGAAGTCTCAATCTGGAGGTTTAGGGTTTGTAGGGCTCGGGATTCAGGGATTGATTGCAGGATCTCGGGTTTACTTTCATGCAAGGATGGCCTGGCAAAGCTGCTACTACGCGCGCAGACACCCAGGTCACTCGCAAGGGCCAGTCACTGACAATGCTCCTGGCAAGGGCAATCAACACAGGCACTCCGGGCGCAGAAAAGCGCCAAACAAATCTCCAGACGTCCTGGTCGGTAGCTCTCGATGCACAAATCATCAAATGATATGAGGGAGAAGAAGATCTCATGCCTAGGCTTGACGGGTAGAGGGACTAATTACAAAACAACAAGACTCATACAATCTGACTCAGATAGTGGACAAAGCTCACCCAGTCTGCTGCTTTCTTTGAAGAACTGAGAAGGCCGGCAAGGTCTCTCAAGCACAACTTAGGCGCAAAACTCAGAAGGCTGGTGAGAACTCTTGATCTGAGGGCAGGCGCAAAACTTAGCACGCGAAGCGCGCACTGTTGGCGGCTTGCAGCAGGCATCAATAAATCAAATTCAATGACACAACGTACGCGCCAGTCAGCCGCTAATGGCTAATGGAAGCAGCCTATCTCTTCTGCTCAACAGGCTCACCACCATCACGTGCTGGCAGTTGCATGGGCGCAGCAGGCATGCGATCGTTGTGCTCTGCCAGGGCTTCAGCTGTCAGCACTCTGCGACGCTTTTGCGGCTTGGGAGGAGGCGTCAAAGTCTTGCCCAGTCTTTTTTTGGTTGGAGGCGTGGCAACGACTGGTCGGCTCATCCAGCCGCCAGCGTTCTAGTTGCACTCGAACTGGTGAAATTGGCGGCGTTGAGAGTGGCGTCCAGGACCCGACACAAGTAGGCCCAGGCGAAGCTGCTTTCTTGGGCTCAGCCGCTGGTGAGTTTGAGGTAAGCTTGCTCCCTGACGTCGGCTGCTGCTGACGTGGCAGCAGAGGCACCAGGCTGAGGCTTGGACACGGCCTCTGCGACTACACCAGCAGCTTCTCCCGTCAAGGTCCCAGTCTTGGCGTTGCCGGTCGGCTCTTGCAAGGCCATGGCGCCGCTAAAGATGGGAGGCGCTACTGGAGCTCAGAGCCACAAAATCTCGTGACATGGCGCACTG